AATGAACATAACAAAATACCTAAAACCAAAGGATGAGACACTACTTGGTCTCCATATATCAGAATGAATAATAGAAAAACTAGAATTACATCTTGATTCAGACCTTTTAGGAAAGACATATCTAATATGTTTTCGTAGTTGACATGACTCACATTCTAAAATTTGGATATTACTAAGCTCTGGGACCAATTTTTTTAATTTTGCCAAGTGGGGATGACTTAACTAATCATGTAACAGTTTAGGACTTGGAGATACAACACATAACACATGTGGACTAGATCCAAAATGGTATAAATCTCCAATTTTATATCCTTCACTAATTCGTCTCCCCAAACCACACTCTTGTATAACAAAGGACGTTTTGGTTAACTAGCTTAATGAAATTAAAAAGATCATTTGGAACAATAAGGATGAATTTGAGATTTAGGGAAGGAGAAAGGGAAACTTGACCGACTCTCTTTGAAGAAATTTTAGAGCCAATTTGCTAAGGTTATGAAATAATGATTATGTAACAGTATGATTTAGATTGGTTAGAAACATTTATAAATCAAGAGCCAAGTCATTCAGTGTTACCTTAGAAAGAACTTATCCAAACTGTTTTTCCACTTCTCATCTGGTTCCATCTAGTCGATATTGTCTGGTTTTGTCTCTAATCGGATTGTAAGTTGAGATTATATCTGCACACACACCCACATATCTGTCGTTGCTTAATCTTGTCTACCTATATGTTTTATGATAGGCAAACCTTGACTGGTTGTTTTGGTTTTATTATTAACTTCAGTGATTGACATGACTGTTTCATGGTAGTGCAATATAAATTTGTCTAATGTGAGTATGCTAATGTTGTGCAATTATTGTGTTTTAGTATGGGAATTGCAGATTAATTAAATGGATATTGAAGGTCAATCTTTTGATCTCTAGGGCGTGTGCTGGGTCACAGATACGGTGGAGACAAGGCTTTAAGTAAACTTTTATTCAAGAAGCTGTTTTAACATTTTAGTTACCTGGGTTTGGGCTCCCTAGTTCAGTCTTAAATATAAGTGAGAGATGGGCTGCCAAAGCCTTATAACAGATTGGCTGTATTTCTATTTCATGTGAGATCTCACCAATGATAATACTGATACAATTTTGTATAACAATTAAAACTAGTATGTTAAACTTTAAAGCAAAATTCAGTTTTATTTGTTATTATTTGTATTGAAGTTAAAATAATGAATCATGTATGCTTTAATTCTTGTAACATTTGAATTGTATCTGTTGTCTTCTGTAGAATGGTCACTATTCACTACACTGTTATAGTGTTTTCTGGCACGGCTGGTGATCCACAATTAACTACCTACCTATCTTGGATGTGGTTGGAAACCGGAAAACACAGCTTAATATGCTAAAATTAATTTTGCTTCACAAAACAACTGGTGGTTAACTGCCTGCGTTTTTCTTTAGAATTCAATTATTGGTGTACTGACTTCTTTGGTCGATGATGATATTATTGCTTATGTTTGTGGTTAAATATTTTTTTTTTTTTGCATTAACCCTTTTAGATTTTCTCTTTCTATTACTGAGATATTTTCAACCTTTGATTTGCAGTTCCTCCCTTTGCCTGCGGTAGCTGGCTTTTATTTGGCTCGCTTTTTTGAAAAGAAGAGTCTAGTGTCATACTTTGCTTTTGTTATTCTTGGAAGCTTGATGGTTACATGGTTTGTGTTGCACAACTTCTGGGATTTAAACATTTGGATGGCAGGGATGTCCCTTAAATCTTTTTGCAAACTCATAATAGCAAATTCTGTCTTGGCTATGGCTATTCCTGGTTTAGCTCTTCTACCTTCAAAGTTGAACTTTTTATCTGAGGCTGGTCTGATAAGTCATGCGCTGCTCTTATGCTACATCGAGAACCGATTTTTCAATTACTCTAGCATCTACTATTATGGATTTGAGGATGAGGTGATGTATCCTAGCTATATGGTTGTGATGACAACTTTATTGGGTTTGGCTTTGGTGAGAAGGCTATCTGTGGATAATCGAATTGGAGGAAAAGCAGTTTGGATTTTGACTTGCCTCTACTTTTCAAAGCTAGCCATGTTGTTTATTTCATCAAAGTCTGTTGTTTGGGTTTCATCCGTTCTCTTGTTGGCTGTTTCCCCTCCATTGCTTCTCTACAGGTAACTTTGACAGTCTCTGGAATTTGTTCGTTTGGAGGGATCCTACCTTAAGTAACCTGACATATTTCACCTCCAGATTTTATTTTCAAACTTGTGATAGTTCACTATTTCTTGTTTTTGTAGGGATAGATCAAAAACAACTTCCAGGATGAAACCATGGCAAGCCTATGCACATGCCTGTGTAGTTGCCTTGTCTGTATGGTTTTGCCGTGAAACAATTTTTGAAGCTCTCCAGTGGTGGAATGGAAGGTCTCCTTCAGATGGTTTAATTTTGGGCTTCTGTATACTGTTGACAGGATTGGCTTGTGTTCCAATTGTCGCTATTCATTTCCCACATGTTTTGGTATGCATATCTATCCAATCCTGTATTTTTAATTGTTTATTTTGGGAGTGGGGATCATATGACATACATTGCAATTTGCAATTTTTTTTGGTTGTTAATTGATTCATAACCAATTAGACATTATCTATGGTTCACAAAGTAATCAATCATGTCTTCCTTTTTATTCTGGTTCTAAAGATTGATCATAAGCTTTTGTTTTCTTGCAGTCTGCGAAAAGATGTCTAGTGCTTGTAGTGGCAACTGGTCTACTTTTTATTATGATGCAGCCCCCTCTTCCTGTGTCATTGAGTTACCAGTCAGACCTAATCAAGACTGCTCGTCACTCTGCTGATGATATCTCAATTTATGGCTACATAGCTGGCAAGCCTACCTGGCCTTCTTGGCTTCTTATTATCGCAATTTTGCTGACTCTGGCATCAGTTACATCTATTATACCCATTAAGTACATTGTTGAATTACGGACATTTTACTCCATTGCTATGGGGGTTGCCCTTGGTATTTACATTGCTGCTGAATACTTTCTCTGGGCTGGTGTTCTGCATGTTCTTATTGTTGTTACAATGGTTTGTGCCTCTGTTTTTGTTGTTTTTACTCATCTGCCCTCTGCTACAAGCACAAAGGTTTTGCCCTGGGTATTTGCTCTACTTGTGGCTCTCTTTCCTGTCACTTATCTTTTGGAGGGCCAACTGAGAATTAAAAATATTCTCGAAGATAGTGAGCTAGGAAATTTGGGTGAGGAGGAGAAGAAGCTTACAACATTGCTAGCAATTGAGGGTGCCCGGATATCTCTTCTTGGTTTGTATGCTGCAATCTTCATGCTTATTGCCTTGGAGATAAAGTATAAACTTGCTTCAATTTTGCGGGAGAAGGTTATTGATTCCGGTGGAGTTAGACAAAATTATAGTAATCAAAGTGCTTCTGCTAGTTTCCTGCCAAGAATGAGGTTTATGCAGCATCGCCGGGCTACTACAGCACCCGCCTTTACAATTAAGAGGATGGCTGCAGATGGAGCGTGGATGCCTGCCGTTGGCAATGTTGCCACAATATTGTGCTTTGCTATATGTCTAGTCTTGAATGTTAGCCTTACCGGTGGCTCAAATCGCTCCATATTTTTCCTGGCTCCTATCCTGCTGCTGCTTAATCAGGACTCGGATTTTGTTGCTGGTTTTGGGGACAAACACAGATATTTTCCTGTAACTGTAGTCATATCAGCCTACTTTGTTATAACTACCCTCTACAGCATAGGGGAAGACGTTTGGCAAGGAAATAGTGGATGGGGTCTTCAAATCGGTGGACCAGACTGGATTTTTGTGGTGAAGAATTTGGCCCTCCTCATTCTTACATTTCCTAGTCATATACTTTTCAACAGGTACGTGTGGAGCCATACGAAGCAGAGTGACTCACCCCCGTGGATAACTTTGCCCCTTAATCTGCTTCCTATTGCATGTACAGATGTACTCAAGATTAAGATCTTGGGTATATTAGGAGTTATATATTCCCTGTCTCAGTATCTAATTACTAGGCAACAATATATCTCTGGTCTAAAGTACATCTAAACGACCATCGTATATTCTGTACGATATGTTTGTCAATTTAGGTATTGATTATGCAGATGCATATCTTGCCTAAATTTGTATGAGGAATATGGTGAAATGCATTTTTGTTATTACTTTTAACCCATCCTGAAAATTTTAAATCAGTCTTCCTTGATGAGTTAATGGTTTGGCTATTTATATCCGAGTGTAGCTTGACGCTTCTTGTGACATGTCTGAAGCTTCTGTTGAAATCAAGAGAATTGATATGCAGTAACTTAAAAATTATGACTTACCGTGTTCTTGCTATCGTATTTGATGTGTTCTTGAATCTTTGTTATGCCAAACCCTTAAATAATTAAGGAATGGTTGCTGTGTATGGTAGAGTCTGATCTGGTGAGTAGGTCTAGTCACACTCACATTGTGAGAATGATATGTAAGAGATAACTTGTACTTTTACTGTGTGAAACCTATTGGATCATTGGTAGTCACAAGACTACAACAAATTAGTCTTTAGGCTTAATGAACTAGGAAAGTTGTGGCAGTACAAAGAAATTTGTATGACATTGTTATGAGTTTGGTAATGGAGTATGTTCAACCCAACGTAATGTTGCTGACTTTAAACTTTCCTTATGGCGAAAATACATGGAGGATTGACCCTTGATATTCTAATCCAAAACAGTCGTAGGTTTGTTGGATTTTTGGGTTTCATGGGATTGCATATTTTTCAGTGCACAACCTTTGAGCGATCTTCCATTTTAGCACCTTTTGCATGTTGCAAGTTATACACTCTCCATCATTCAAGCCTCTACAATTTGAATTGATTTTAAAAGCCAATAGTTCACGGTTAAATCACACCACATCTAAACTTCAATAATGCAGTCTTCGTATTAATGTCCATGCGCTTTTGTAGCTAGTAGAAGTTTGAGGCATTTCCGAAGCGAATATTAATTTCATTGCAAGAAGCTACAGATCATTTTCAATAATTGGCTTCTGCAACACTTCACCATCTTTGAACATGCCGCTCCAAGTCCAATCTTGGTTCGTTCACATGTATAGTTGCATTATTAAAGGAAAAAACAAAACTTATTTGCCGTTATCAAGTTTTGAGATAAATATCCAACCAATATTTGCCGACAAAGAAAGGTTAATCCAAAGAAACTTACGGAAAATATGGATGTAAGCACGGTTCTAATGTAACTAACACGCTTCTCGATTAACCTTGAACATCACCAAAGCTTTAAAAGTATGATTCATTTTAAAATTTTAATTTATTATCATTTTAAAATTCTAATTTATTATGATTTTATTATATTTTGATAAATTAAAATAAATAATATATAAAAATTATTATTAATATCATATCAAATTTATAATAATATGGAAAGAAATATCAATTATATAAATTTGAGTGTATACGTGCTTTTGTCACTATAATAAAAAAGATACATATTATTTTTCTTAAATATAAGGATTGAAAAAAAGTAATTTTTTTAATACATATGAAAATAGAAAGATGTCACGAGTATAAAAAGAAATGTTTTCTTTTTAATTCTCGAGGAGATTAAAGGCGAAGGAATATTTCAAAAATTGAAAGATGCTGATATTTATCTTTCCCAAAGGTTGAAAGATTCCTTCGAGGATTAGAAAGGAAAGTACAAAATGAGGAACACATAGTGACAAGACATGTTTAGAACCAAATACTCAGAGATGTTTCTTTCTTTCTCTCTATGCTTTCCAGGTTTTGTTGCTGACTAAAATGATTCCATCGACATTGAGCTCACACCATGCATTGCCTCAGGATTATCATAGACACCCCTCTTGCCAGATGCTCTTTCCAAATTCTACCATTTCTTTATCTTCGTCCAAATAATGTTATCCTAAAATATGTATTCACTGTATTCATATCAATCCAACTTATTCAAGATATGATCTAGTGCAATATTAATGATTTAAAATCTCATGAATTATCCACATCTTCAGTTATCTATTTAACTGAAAAAGTGACATAATTATATCTTGTTAAATGTATTTTAGTCATTACCATTAGTTCTAATTAATAAAAAATATCATTAATTCAAATTATAAAAACAACTTTTAGGCAGATTCACTTGCAAAATATGGAGCCTCTTCAACTTTAATTTCAAAACTTTGGAGCCTGTCTTACTTTTGTAATTTTTCTGGTTAGTGTAACAGGCTGATCTTTGTTTTTTATTTTAATTTATTTTTCTTTCCATAGAATATAGAAGATAATTAATATATTTTAATTTATGAGAATTAAATTATTTTTCAATACATGTTTCCACTACGTAATATATTTATTATTTTATATAAACAAGATAATTAAATATCATTTATTTTAATATATTACGAGTAGTAGTTTTTATTGTTTTAATGTATTTTAATTAACTATTTTGTTAACAAAAATTATAATTTTATTTTATTTTTTATATTTCAGTTCATTAACTTTGGATCTTTGTTTTACAATTTATGTTGCTGTCATATAACAAGCAATGGTTATTATTAGTATTATAATTATAATTCCTTTCTTAAATATTATTATTATTATTATTAATCTAAAAAGGAAAGTAAAATATAATTTAATATATTAATATTAAAAAATATATAAAGTTTAATTACCATGTGTATATAAATGATAAAATATTCGAGTGAATTGCAAACTCAACCATCTTTATTAATATTTTTCATTTTTAGGGATTCTGTCACAAAACTAATCAGAGTTAATGATAAGAATTAAAAAAATACTAAGAAAATGTGAAGATTATAAAAGTAACAAAAGTTTTTGTAAAGATTAAAACAAGATAGATTCATACTTGCAGAAAATTAAATATATTTTAACCTTTATCAATATATTTTTTGTACATTAATACAATAAAAAAACAATGCTATGCATGAGAATCTGATGAAAACGGAATTGAATTGTAGATAAAATAAAAGAATATTTTGGAGGGTTATATGTTTAGAAAAGCAAAAAGTTATATTAAATTGTGATCCACACGTCTAGAATAAGGAAATTCTCTCTTTTTTTATTACTCTCAACAAAAATATCGTAGCCACCGCGACCACAAGTAGTATCACAAGTGGGCCATGATAGTGAACTTCACAAAATAGAAATAAATAAATAATTACCCTCATTGAACATATAAAAAGAAAATAGTTGAGAAGCATATCGTGAAAAAGGAAAAAATTATAGATCGAAATAAAAGAATATGTTCGAGAGTGTAGAAAAGCAAAAAGTTATTTTAAATTCTCATTCTTCCTTTTTAGTTCTTTTAGTGGAGAAGCAAAAGATACATTGGACTACATGAGATATTCTGATAATGACACTTTCTACATTTTAGAACAATTGAATCACTCAAGAATTTTATCATCTCCTTTCATATCTGCATCCACTCATCTAGAATAAGAAAAATTCTATCTTTTTTTCTTGCTTCCAGAAAAATATCCTAGCCACTGCGACCACAATATATCTCATAATAACATGTACCTTTGCAACTTTTCCTCCTATATTCTTTTTTAATGAAGTAAACACATGCACGACAATGTTCTCGAGGAACAAGATTATAATGGAATGAGTAGAAAATAATATTCATGTCATACACAGAGTATTAAAATTAAAGTAATTATAAAATAATTTGAAATGAAAGAATATTTTACTATAAATTCATTTTTATGAGTATCATGTGACTTAGCTAAATTTGAAATTTCTTAAATTGATTAATGTTGAGCTAAGGATTATTTGATTTAACTGTAATCAAACTAAAGACATGTTCACTGAAATCGAGTTAATGATGTTTGTCCACCACATATCTATCACATTCTAGTTGGATATTTCTAAAGAACTTTTGTTTCATTAATGTGTAAAATTTGATAGAAGTTGCATCTAAATTAGGCGAATCTCTAAAGAAATAACAACATAATCATTCTTGTTCTAACGTATCCTTAACGGTTTAGCAAGAACATGGTCAAGAGAAGAAATGATTTTTCTAAAAAATCCACCATTATCATGCTATAGTTTGGCACAACCAAGCTAAATAACTCGGTGAAGATTTCCTGCCATGAGCGTGTTATTTTCACAACTTGTCTTGATTTTTGATATTGTTAGACAGGGTTCTAAGTTTTTATTATGTATATCCTCGGTTGTGCTTCTTTCTCGAGTCAATTATTATCTTAAACACGAGAATTCTGGAATAATGGACGTAATTTTTGGGAAGAATTTCATTATATTCATAAAAAAAATATTCAGAACTACCACGCATCTATAAGTATGGGTTAGTTGACAAATTTCATTGTATCCATTTGATAACTTGCGATGGGAGAATAAAACTCTCATAAATGATATAAAAAGAAAGAAATTTGGAAAAGTCTCAAGGGTTTGAGTGAAATATAATAATGAGTATAATATTTATATACCTTGCTTAAAAGCCACTTAAATATATTTTTTTCTTAAACAATAATTAGTTGAAAATTATATAATTTTAAATACTAATATACTTATAAGTCATACAAATTCTTTATTGAATATTACTAATATATAATTTTTAAATACTAATCAACTTCTTAGTTGAAAACAAATTTCTTTATATATATAAAAAAAAATCTTTTTGAATAACTTGAAATCCTAATCCAACACACATCTTTAATCTATATTAAGATTAGTTCTTACTTCCAAAATTTAAACACTTCTCTAATTTAAAGGAAATTAAATCCTAACTTATGATCTTCCTCTAGAGATTTTCAAGAGTATAGTTAGCGACCATCGAACATTACCCATATTTATTTGTTAGTGCTCCATTAATCCCTTTGACAGAGAGTATAAAGTGATTAATGAAATTTTTAAATCACAGTTTACAACTATAGTAGTGTCCTTAACGTTTTGATTTTTCTGGAAAGTGTTTTTTGTCCAGCAGTTTTTTTTAAAGATTTTCACGAGTGTCATATAATTGTTACACAAGTTCTACTGCAAAATATAAAATTTTCAACCATATATAATGCAAAACGACTCATAATATGCTTAAAAACACCGTAGAATATGTTTCTACCTTTAACATAATAAAAATAAGGTGCGTTTAGTTTACATAGAAATCATATATTTAACGAGTTTATTCTTAATCTTTATAAAAATTGTATAACAATTGAGTGGTGTTGCTGGAACACAACGAGTGATTTGTGGTATTTCTCATCCAAAATATGTTTTAGTTCCTCAAGGAGAATATAATATCTTTTTTATTCTAGAGGAAAGAAGGAAAACTATGTCTATGTTTTGGTTTTTTTATTTAACCCAAGGTATCTTTTAGTGGAAAGGTGAAAATTATTTTTTTAAATGCTAATATTCACTTAAGAAAATGATATTTTTGAATATATATTACCCCAAAAAAAAAAAAAAAACTCCTATAGTGACATATTATATTTAAGAAATATAATAATCGACCATTTTTCATCCTATTGAGAAATTATATATGTTGTTCTTTAATTTAATTTAATTTAATGGGGAATGATAAGCAATTAATTCCTTGTATATTGATTAAGTAAACTTCTGATCACAATCCTTGTGTGGGTTAATATTAATATTCCTCATTAAGGTGATAAAGTGTAGGCTTGATTACAGAATTAAACGCATAAAAAAAAGTTGATAAATTGAACGAGTAATATAAATATATATTGAAATATCCACCATGCCCACATTTAAAGAAGGTAAAATTGCCATCAAAATGATGCATAAAAAAACACTTTTCAGAAAGTGGATGTAATTTTCTAAGAGATGGTCCTTTTTCATTCACCCTCATTTCTTTCCTCAATTTTTTGTTCGTCCTAAATAAAATGAGAAAAAGATAAAAGTCAGAATCTATTGATGGTACCTTAAACTCACACAAGAAAGCGTATATAAAGGCAAGACATTGGGCTCACTATTTGAACTAGAGGCAAGAAAGTGAGAAAACATATATCGAAATCATGCGTAGCACAACGAATAACCCTCTTGTTGTTGGACGTGTAATAGGAGATGTTCTGGAGCCCTTTTCATGTTCTGTCCCTCTCAGAGTTGTCTACGACAACAACAAACAAGTCATCAACAGTGGTGAGCTCAAACCCTCCCAAGTAATCAACCAGCCAAAAGTTGAGGTTGGTGGAGATGACCTCAGAACCCTTTACACTTTGGTACACCTTCATACTCTTCTAACATTTTTCTTTTACATTCTTCCTTTTGCTCTTTCAATAATGAAAGATGCTTAGGTTTGCTTATTGCTGAACCATGACTCGTATCAGAGATGTGTATTCACCACAAAGTATTGGTCTTTGTAGGTCATGGTGGACCCTGATGCACCCAGCCCAAGTAACCCAAATATGAGGGAATATCTACACTGGTAACTTCTCAACACAGTTAACTCTCATCTCAATCACTCTTCGTGTTTGCATATTCTACGAAGCTATATATTAATTCATCAACATACATCTTCATTGCATCATAAACGATTTAACTCAAACCATTAAGCAATTTTGGCATCACAAATGCTCTGATACACTTCCAATCTGACATACTTTGATATTAAGAATTTAGATATATTTAAGTCCACATTAGATTAAAAAAAATGAAAAGTTGACTAACTTGTAACTAGAAGGATTAACAATTTAAAATTATAAGATTTTAGGTTAAAAAAATATCATATGGTTGATTAGTGTCTTATAAGAATCTCTTTATTTTTAATCTCTTAAAAATATTCAATATTTAATTTCTTTCATATAATTCTATCTTATTTTTGTCAACATTTTCCATGTAGTGATAACTGAATATATCAACGGTAATGTGTGTTATGAGGATGGGATTGGTTTTAAACTTGTAGTAAAAAAAAAATGGTAATTTCATATAACTAAAGTCAATAAAAGTATATTTACGCTCTTACATATGATATACACAATAATTACACAATTAACGTTGTGAGTTATGCAGATTAAAAAAGAGGAAAATGTTTTAAAAAACTATGAAAAATATAAACTAATTTTAATTCTACAATATAAAATGAAATAAATAAAAAAAAACTAGTATATACGAAGTATATGAGTAAGTTTTGAAGCAAAAGAAAGTGAAATAAAAACTAGCTTAATATGAACCGGTTTACTTATGAAATATAAGGGCATACTCATAATTGAGATGATAGTATGGTAAATAATCACTTGAATTGAAAAATCACAATCACTAACCCTAATTATCTCTCTCCATATATATAATTGTATATGGTGAAGAATATTATTCGTGGGTTACGGGTCAACCTCAGAAAATATTTTAAATTATTTGTATATTTGTAATTTTGAATTTTTTTTAAATATTTAATTTTTATTATAGTTTAAATAAAATATTATATATGAAATTCCAAGTCTGTTTAATTTTTCTTATAAATAATTATTTTAATATATATATATATATATATATATATATATATATATATAACTGAATTGTTATATTGAATAAAAAAAGTTAAAAAATCATTACTAAAAAGTTAATTATTTTTTGTAATTTTTCTTGTTAAAAATATTATTTAAATTTATTACAATTTTTATAAAAAATTTATAAAAAAATATTCCCATGAAATATAAAAATATCTAGTAGAGGATATTTTATATTCTTTTATCTTGACGAGATTAGATTATTTTTGTCTTTTTCTTTTATTTAGTGATTCAAAATGGAGGCATGTTTTCGGAGAAGAGACTAATTAGATTTGTATCTTTTGAGAGAAGATTATTATATTTGTTACATGGGATAAGAAAGGAGAGATAAAAAAAGAAAGATAAGCGTCAGTAAAATGTATAAAAATAATACGTGTTGTTGATGTATAGAGAGAGAGTTTAAGTTACTTCAATCCTATTCATTCTTTTTTTTTTTCCAATTTAACTATTCTAATAAATAGCTCTATTTCTAAAAGATAAAAAACATCAGAATTAACTCTTTTAAAGTTACTCCAAAAATTATATTAAAAAACATAGTATTCATCTCATGCTTTATTTTTTGTAATTAATTTTAAAATACTTATTATTCTTACTCTTTATCAGTAATTTATCTTAATTAAAATTAATAAAAAATAAAGGAAAAATATTTTAAGGTTATTTTTTGTAATTTCGAGCGTATTGTTTTATATATTAATTTTTAAAAGAATTTACACATTGAGTATATATCATGGTAATAATTAAGTTGCTAAAGTATTTATTCTTGAAGGACAAAAAAGTTGGCAATATACATTAGTGAATTCTATAAGGATTTACTAAGGTAATAAGCTCTTTTACTTTTTAGGAGTATGGTAAGAAGTGACACCTTAAATGTATTTTTAAATACACAATCAAAATTTACTAATATACTTCTAAAAATACTTAAGATATAACTTGTTAAACTATTTTATAAAAATAAAGTACGTGTATGTTATCAAATCTTGTGGAGTTTGTTAATATACATAAACTTTTTTTAAATGAATTAGCAAGTTATAATTACGATTATCTGAAAATTCATCTAAATTTTTTCCTTTTCAATGGATGCTTAGGTTGGTAATCAATATTCCAGCAACAACAGGGGCAAACTTTGGTACGTACCCAACTCATTTATTTGCCAGTTTTTTAATTTTTTTTTCTTTGATCCTTTTATCATTTATTTGTCTATAAATATCGAACACTATACAGACAGAGAAATACCCATACATATTCATGGAGTGACTTTATTATTATTATTTATCTGTATCTGACTTTCATAGCGTAAATTATTTTAATTGAAGTTGAATTTAAATTTTAGTTTGTTTGTGGATCAAAATGGATTTACTTTAAGATCGATACTAAAAAAGGGGTTTTCAATTTCAAAAGCACTTTTAAAACTGATCTTTTCGAAAAATTTAGATTTATTGTAAAAATAACATAATATCATTGAATTAAAATAAAATAAAATAAATTTAATTTAAACTTAATTACAACATAAGCTTTTATCTAAAATTTTAAAATAATATGTTCATAGATTTCTTATTTATTTATTTATATGTTGTTTAGCTTTTTTATTTATTTTCACATTAAATATGAACCATCTTTTTACCAATCATAAGACTATTATACAAGAGAATACAAATGACTTGCAATCTAAATCTTGATTTAATCCAATGAGTTTGAACATCTTTTCATATATTATAATATCCTTGTTGATCACGAGAAGACATATTTTGTTAGAAGTTGGTGAGAACATCCTTAACAAAGGGATTTACGTACGTCACCATTATGACGTTTAATTATTGATTTTGCAACAACGAAGAGAGAAAAAAAACACCTTTATATTACACAAGCATCACATAAAAACACATGCTATCTATCCAGTGACAACAAGACTGATATGAGAAAGGAAGCATGGTATTAATTTGACAGGACAAGAGATAGTGAGCTATGAAAGTCCACGACCAACGTCAGGAATTCACCGTTTAATATTTGTGTTGTTTCGACAACCCTGTCGACAATCCATACATGCTCCTGGGTGGCGCCAAAATTTCATCAGCAAAGATTTTGCCGAGTATTACAACCTTGGATCACCGGTTGCTGCTGTGTATTTCAATTGCCAACGTCAAGGTGGTTCCGGTGGTAGGAGGCTAGTCTTATAAATATAAATATATTTATATTCCACATCATAAAAATAAAATCAAATAAGTATAGTGATACACTCTTCTCTTACCAATGTCATACCTCTTCCATGGAAGTTGCTATGCAAATATTACAAGGCTTTATTTCCCAACAATAAACACTCTCGTTATATCTTTCTCTTCTAAAATAAACAAACACCATCATTCATTGGACCAATACTACTAAGCCCAATTCGAGATAACTAGGCCCATTTGTAGATACATAGGCCCAATAATATAATGGGATCAACAATTTTACAACCCAACCTCCACATGTAAATTGTTAGCAACAAATAACAAATATTGTGCGATTCACTCATATAGAAAAAGATATTAACACTCTAACGTTACTCTTAATTATTTTACAAGAACAAAATAAATTCATTATTTCTCTTATGAGAATAGAAAAAAGTGACTACTACACATTACTTAATTCATTAGGTGAAGAGCTATTCAAAAGGAGTTTCAATAATTTAAAGCATTTAATAAATCAACAAAGTTAATCACTTTTTTTAATCCGTGTGAATTACCTTATGTATATCATTTGAAAACATAAAATAGTAAGACGACTATTGGCACGAATATGTTTTTTGATATTTCTATTTAACATTAATAATGACTTAGGATTCAGAAAGTGGATAAATAAAAATAAAGAATGGGTTAATAGAACAAAATTGTATAAAAAAATAAAAAAAAATGTGGAAGAAAAGAAAACCCTGCTTTATAAAATAAATCTAAAAAAAAATGTTCGTTGAAATGTTTTGAAAAAGAAAAGAAAGTAGAAGAAAAACGTTAAGGTGAATAATACTAGAATGTGGAGGTTTGGTCCTGTATGGTATGGTATGGTACGGGATGGTATGGGGAGAAAGTGAGGAATCTGGTGTTTGATCCACACATTAGTATGTGGTGTGCTCTCGCCCTCAAAGATGCTTTATGCTTGTGAAGTTAAGACACAAAAGTTGGGAATTTGAATATTCACACTCTCCATAAGAGATTTAATACTTCACAACCAGATTTTGAAATATTCTCAGATAGAGACACTTAAAATATTAATAATATTCATCTTTCTTCACAATTCTAAAAAAAAAATCTAAATATATGAAAATAAACAGAAAAAATGTAAAAAATAAAATAAAACAAAGGCAATTCGTTAAGTTGACTCAGTTCAACTCACCCGAAAAATAAGTTATTTTATTCTCTCTATATAAATATTTATAATAAATAATGAATTAAAAATTGTTTAATATAAAATAGATTTTTTGACTGGTAATTAATTTTCATATTTTGTGTGAAAGTCGTAATTCCTTTCCCTTCTTGGTCTCCGAAATGAATCTTAATAATTAGTGTTGTGTTGACCTAGAAAAGGACCCGTAAGTAGGGTCACAATCGCAAACCAATCGCAAAACAATTAAGTGTACCAACAAACATGCACAATTATAACCTTTTTGGAGAATCAAAGGCATTGAGTTTATTCAATCTTTGTCATGCATATTATCCTTATTCTTCTAGATAATACTAGAATATGTAGCTGAAGGAGGTGAACCACTAACAATGTTTTGGAGCATCCTTTAGTCAAGACACAACACCTTTAATTTATTCAAAGCCACCATGAGATAATGCCATACATATTGCATAAAGTTTCATCCAAACGTTTCCCAAAGAACCTTTTTTTTCTTTGTCAGGCTTCAATTCCCAATTCGTCGTCTCCGAACTAGGAACTTCATAATAACAGCTTGGATACTTTAATTCTTAAATTTTATTATTAGAAAACTATTTTTCTAAAGTAAACTTTGGTTTCAAATTACGAAATAAAAATTAATTTATCCTTCAATGTTACTCAATTAAGACCACCTTTTGAAAGTAACTCGTTATATCCATAGCCCTCACTCAAAATATATTTATTTAAAAAGTTCTCCTTAAATAAGGATTCCCGGTCAATAATAATAAGGAAAACTATAATTTTAGTACACTTTGGTTAAAAAATAATTTTAGTTGAAATCAAGTAAAAAATATTACTATATAATATTTTTAACTATTAAATATTAAAATTATTTTTTGTATTTGATAATAATTTAATACTCTGTTAAAAAAATTAATTTAATATATCTGTATTACTTATGAAAATTAGTTAAGAAACTAGACATTTTAAATTAAAAATACTTCAAATTCGCTATATAGAATAAAACTTACCCTCTTGACTAATTAATTTCACATTTAGTTTTAATCACCACAATTTATTTGTATCCTTAAATTAATCAATATTTACTAAATTTCCTGTTATGGATATAATTTACTTTAGAAAAAAAATTGAGGAATTAAAGTTGCAGAATCTTTAGATTGTATGACCTAACAATGAATTTAAGACAAAAACTTAATTTTAGTAATAAAAAGATAAGTATCAATTATTAAAAATAAATAACTCGTTCCTTCATATTTTTTAGTATCATGGAGAATTTTAAATCCGTATAGTTTCTTTTTAAGAAAAATAAGTATGAAAATTATTTTACTTTTTAGTATTTTTAATTTTATTTATAAATTTTGCATACATACTAAAAAATTTAGTTTATTTTTGTAGTTTTAATTTTATCTTACTTTTATTTTTCACCTAACTTTGAAGTACATAAAATATTAAAAAATGTTTATTATTTTTCTTAATTATAGTATTATTTTATTATAATTTTATGGTTTATCTCATTATGATATATTTAATAAAAAGATAAAATTATATAAAATATATTTCATATGTAATGGTTAATTTTAATAATATTACCATAATTATATAAAAAATTATGATATTATCGTTTTTAGAGACAAAACTATTGTCAATCATGATGAAAATAAAGTTTAGGTTTAGGATTATCCTTTAATTTTGAATTGAGATTTATATTTTAGTATATTCATAAATTTTATTTTGCTTAAGAATAAAAATTAATGATAATTTATATATATATATATATATATATATATATATATATATATATATTTCTTCATCTTCCAAGTGTGCTTTATGGACCAAATCAAGACAGATTAGAGTTGGACAATATATTTGATATGATAATTAATTTTAACAATGTTATTATAATGGACATGAGATCAAAATACTTTTGTTTCTAGACGGAACATTGGTGTCTTTATAACACGGAAAATAAAGTTTTTATCCACTCTTATCTCTTAGTCCTTGATAATAAAACTATTTTTGATATACTTATAAGTTACATATTACTTAATAGTCAAAACCTAATTTTATATATATATATAGACACTTTTTAAAAATAAAACCGTGATGGACTAACTAAAATTTTAAAGTGCATAATACTTAAAATATATTAATTGTTCTTAATAATATTATTATAATAGATATATGGTTGTGTTATGTTGTTTATAGACGAAACATGAAATGAGAGTGTCTATCATGTGGATAAAGATAGAACCTTGATATACTACTACCATTTAATGACTAGGGAATAAAGATAGAGTATTCTTATCCTATCATGGGAATAAAGGTAGAGCCTTGATATACTATTACTATTTAATGACTAGGGGACAAAGATAAAGTCTTAACATACTGCTTTTCTATATATATTCATAAATTCATATGAATTATGAATCCAAATCAATAGTAATTATATATATATATATATATATATATATATATATATATATATAATTAAAATTAGAAACATATTTTATCATGTCATTCACAATAACGTATTAGTAAACGAGTCATTAATTCACACATCATCAAAAAGAATATAACGTAAATTATGAACGCGATTAACTAGTAATGACCGATAAAAATTGTTATATTATGAAAAATGAAGATAAATATTAGCTTAGATTAATATACTATGCTGTAGATATTCATAAGAGCATTTTAAGAAAATTCAATACAAACTTTTAACACGAAATTAGTACAGATGTATTAATGGTTCTATCTATCTATATCTATATACATATAAAAAGTGATACATGAAACTAGAAAGAAGGACACGATAAAAAATAAGTCGAAGATTATGGATATAAACTAAGGGTGAAAATATAAAAGTTGTTTCATATTCGATTTCGTCTAATGTTTTTTCCTCCTAATTTGGTTGAAGCAGAATAAAACGTGGTGAAATAATTTTTTAAAATTAAATCAAAGCGTAACATCATTTGATCATAAAGTTTCATGTAAATAAAATGTAAAATTTATAACATTCATTTTAAAAATATATCTATTGTTCTTTTTAATTGTTGACAATTATTTTTTCATGTCAACGATGACGAAAATTAAACTCGTTTATTCATGGCTAAGTTATTTTTGGATTATTGACTTTTGAAATGCTTTACTTCTTTCACGTATGGAACTATTTATTTCATGAGTTGACGTTCCAGTCTCAATTATTTTACTTCACGGGCTTATTTTTTTTTCTTTTTTATTCCATCTATGGCTAAAAATATAAACATAAAGTAAAGATGCTTTTTTTTTTTCTTTTTTTAACAAGTGAGATACCCTTTTGCTTTCTCCCCCACTGCTCTTTTATAACAAACATAGATCTACAAAGTCTTGTATTGAACCTAATTCAATGTAAATATTAAACTAGATAATAAGAATATTTGCCTCCATCTCAGTTCAACTCATAATGAAACGGGTTTATTTAGTTGAAACTTGATAGAGAAATATGGCATAAAAATTCGAATCAATCTAAACTGAGTCAAACCTGATTTTACCCCTAAGCACCCGAAATATGTATAAGAAAAAGAAGAATCTATTGATGGCACACGAGGAAATTGATGACAGACATTGGAAGAAGGTGTATAAATAGGCGTAGGCATATTCATAACTTGAATCAAAAGCAAGAAAAGATCAATGGAGGACCCTCTTGTTCTTGGACGTATAATAGGAGAAGTTTTGGATCCCTTTACGAGTTCTGTGACTCTGAGGGTTGTTTACAAGAATAACTCAGATGTTATCAATAGTTGTGAGTTCAAACCTTCTCAGATTGTGAACAAACCAACAGTTCATGTTGGTGGAGATGACCTAAGAGTTCTTTACACTCTGGTATGCTCCATCCATAGTATTCATTAATTCTTCATTTCTCTCTCTCTCTCTCTCTTGCTCAAATTCTACATCCATCACCATGCACACTTATTAACTCTATATGCAGATAATGGTGAACCCTGATGCTCCTAGCCCAAGTCACCCATGTCTGAAGGAATATTTGCATTGGTCAGTGCCTTCTCTTGCCACTTAATATCAACGTTTAAACACCTTTTTAATGATTTAAATTTCGCATAATTTCGTTTTGTTTTCTAAAATTCATCTTATTATTAATAAATTAAAAAAAAATTGCTTAAGTCCTTTTGTTTGAACGCTTATCACCTAGGAAAATAGGTTAAATTAGTGCTAGTATAACATTAAATTAAAATAGGTTAACACACTGGCTAGATTAATATTCTTTTCATACGAAGGAAAATAAAACAAACTAGGTAACAGTAGCCAAGTCAGAAGATGTAAATAAATCAGTAGCATGTATTCTCAACATAGGTGTATTCGAATATAGATGTTTTTATATATGTTTGTGCATGATAAACATTTTTAAATTCATTTAATTATCTTTTACAAATATAATGTTTTTTTTTTCAGCTTATAAATATTATGTTGAAAGAGCATCTTATATTTATGACAATTCCATAGTTCTGTTCCAGATGCCAATGCAGTACATATATATCATACATAGATTAATCTAGATTATGTGTTTTTTTGGACCACCTATAAAGTATATACAATAGGAATTATGTAAAACTAATTTAACATTGACAAATTCTAAGGACGCTAATTAAGGAATTAAACCAACGTGTAATAATTTGTTTCTTCATAATTGTTAACTACGCATGCTTCCATAACTTCTAATAAATACATTTTCCATCTAAAAAAATTGTAATTTAAGTTTTTTTACACGAAGGTTTAGAAAATTAATAAATATGTAGTTTATTGAATTTACTTTTTCAATAGATATATTACTTTATCTGTTGAAAATATAAATATTTATATAATTTATTTGGAGACAAATTAAAAATAATTAATTAGCACATCCTTAAAAATTGAAAATTTTAGTCAATTTCAAATTAAAAAAAATTAAAATTACAATGGTTTTGAAATTGAGAAAGTATTTTATTATCTTAATTCTTTAATCAGAAATGGTGAACAACTAGACCCTTTAACCCGACGTAAAGTTAATTTAAAGCTAAAGTTAAAAAAAAAAAAACAGTTCTAAAATTAAAATAGAAGTTGTTTGGCAATTTTCATTTGAATTAGTGTAATTTTTTGAGTTAAAATTTATTTGGGAAAAGATAATTAATTTTATTTAAAATTAATTGCTTTACTCAATGAAAAATATTTCGAAAAATAAGAATATTATATATGTAAAATTGATTTATTCAAAATATATTTATTTTAACGGTAACAACAAATACATAAAAGTATTAAATATGCATTGAAAACTTGTTTAACAAATAAATTATTAATGATTGTAATTATGGTTGTAAAATATAGTAAGAATAAATTAATATATATTGAAAACTTATTTAAAAAAATGGTTGTGATTATGAATAAATAAAAAAACATAATAACAAATAAGAAATTAAACTAAAAATGATAATCACAAACATTTTAAAATATTAAAAAAATAACATTTCGTATTTAATGTAATCAATTCGTTTATATATGTGTTAAGAAAAAAATCACATTTAATGAATATAAATTAAATAAACTAAAGACGTGAAAATTATTTAATAGAAAAGGTAGCGAAATACAATAAAAATAAAAATAAAAATAAAAATGGTATATAACTCTTTTTGTGTATATAACTAATGTTCTTCACTGAGTGGCTAGGTTGGTAACCAATATTCCAGCTACTACGACAGCAACGTTTGGTACGGCTACAACTTTGACGTCGTATTAATTTCATTCTACGTTGTTGACATTATTGATTTTGTTACGATGATTATGTGGAATTTGGTAGGACATGAGATCGTGGAGTATGAAAGTCCACGACCAACGACGGGGATTCATCGTATTGTTTTTGTGTTGTTTCGTCAATTGGGTAGACAAATTGTGCATGCTCCGAGATGGCGCCACAAGTTCAACACCAGAGATTTTGCTGAGGTTTACAACCTGGGATTACCAGTTGCTGCTGTGTATTTCAACTGTCAACGTGAAAGTGGTTGGGGTGGCAGAAGAGCTTAATCTCATCTCATTTACCCTTCTTCAATTAATACAACTCATTTATTATCATCACACAACGACTACCCTCAAAACTATGTCTTTGCACCACACTACTACTGCACTTGTTGAAGCTATATATATGGTCACTTGTTCTCAAATAACATGATTTTTAATGATGAATCGTCGCCTCAAAAACAATATTTCTTTTAATTTTTGGTCTTTTTTGTGATTTCAGCTTCTATATTCAAGAAAATCTATAATTTAAATTCAATATTTATTTTTGTAAATATTTTATTTCTTTTATTTTGATCCAACTGAATTTTAAACCTAGTACAGTCATGTAAAATTAATAAAAAATATTTAAATTAGAAAAATAAAATCACATGAAAAAAAAAACAGAGGAGATAAATTGCGGATAAAATATATATATATATATATATATATATATATATATATATATATATATATATATATATATATATATATATATATATATATATAACCAATGAAAGTACGATTTCCATTGACGATTAAATTCCAGGGGATTAATTTAAAAGAATATACAAAATGTAAAGAGATTCTGATATATGCTTAGGCCTAAGACAGTAGCCCTAAGGCCTCGGAATACATCCAATTTAGTTTGATTGGGCCTAGCAACACAAAAGACAGCCATGATATTTTCACTCCCATTTTCCTTTTCTCACCCCTACTATTTACTTTATTTTTTTATTTCACTCCACCCTTTCTTTTAAAGGAAAATAATTGTTAATATAATAATTATAAATACTTTTATATTATTAAAAGAGGATATAAATTGAGTGAATATTCAAGGTTAGTGTCAATCAATCACTAGTCTTTAAAGAAAATAAATAAATAAATAAAGCTTCACCTACGAATCTACACCTTTATAACATCCATTATTTAAATTAAAATATTCTATTATTAAATAAATATTTGAAAATTAAAAATAAAAAAAAATGATAAAAATAGGTATTAGTATTGTTGAAATATAGGTGTAGGTAGATCATTCTTTGTTTGAACTATTTTTTCTCTCTCTTTCTCCTGGATACACTCATATTCGAAATTAATCTCTTGAAAATTATTGTGACAGGAAAAGAAAATATTGGAATATCTTTTGTGAGGACATTATTGGATCAAAACAAGGTGGTGCGAATATGAGCAGCATGAAAAGCCACACATTATTGGTCTAACATTAGACTAAGCCTAACATTATTCGCTTCTGCATTTTTCTTCTTCTTCTTCTAAATTTAGTTGCTCCCCCAAAAAGGATTAATTTTTGTGTATTGCTCAGAGATCTAAACTAAATCCATAAACAATCAAACAGAAAAAGCGAAGTGGATGTGTTTATGTTTTCTTAGAAAAAACAAGTTTTTATTTTGTTATTGTTTCACCGTTTGCTTATATTGTCGTCGCATGGTCGGTGGTTGGTGGGTAAAAATTTCCTTCGATCTCCAAATACACTTTTTTCTTTACTGCTAACACCTGAATTATTTTGTTGGTTATATTTTCTCATTTTGACCTAACATTCGTAAGTCATCCAATGTTTTGTATGCATCTTATCGAATTTACATTCATACTTCGCAATCTACCAAGATTGTTTTGTTTTAATTGTTTTGTTTTAACGGTAAAAGTTGAAAAAAAAGATGGAATAAATTGTGGATTCGAATTTTCGTAAAAAAAAAATATGGCCTATTAATAATTAATATTTGCCCATTAAAATAATAATAATTCAGACACACTATTTTACTTGTTAAGAGAGAAAAAATATTCCTTTTTCTGATTTATAAACTGTAGTAAGTGCCAAAATTGAAAAATAGATATTCTGGCTGCGAAAACCTAGTGGGTGCAGAAGCTCGTACTGATTTCACTTTTATGAAGTCAGAAAACTTATGTACGTGTCTGTGTATAGTTAACATACTTTAAGATAGACCACTCAAAAATGAGTTAAGATTGATTAAAATTTATTCTTTTTTCGTTTATATTAAGAGTGTCAATTACACGTGTCAATTACACCAAAATATTGAGCTAGTAAAATTTCTTCATCCACTTGTTATCATTATATTCGTATAGTAAATATCATACTATTGCCGTAAATAATAAGCTGTTATTTCGTGTCGTTTTCAAATCGAAACTTAAAGATCAATCATAAAACGATTTCTTGGGAATCGGTATAAAATGGATCACTGTAAGAGTATTTAAAATTAATAAAAAAATAGCCCATTTTAATGTTAAAAAGACAAGTCTATTCCAGTTAAAATGTTCTACAATGATAGAGAAATAATAAGATTATATATATAAATTAATTGTAATAAAAAATATGTGTACAAATCTTATCTTATAAATTAATTTTAATAAAAATATATTTATTATAATTATTATTGTTAGTCGTATTTATATATGACGATTTTAGGGATGCATATGAGTCGGATCGATTAGGTCGATTTTGGTTAAACTTATCAGTAATTCAATAAGGTTAGGTTGAATTGATTTTTAATTTTTTTTATTCTACAATCCAAAACTCTAAACTTTAAATCCAATGGATTGAGTTAGATTGAATTGAATTAATTGGGTAGCAAATTTTTAAAACTAATTTTTAATTTTAAAATATTTTATTATAATATTTTTTAAAAAATAAATTAAATTATTTATTATTTTAATAATTTAATAATGCATAAAATAGAATTTTCATTATAAATTTTTGTGTTTAGTATAATTTTTTTCTCTGGTTTTCATGTATTATGATTTACTCCTTTAATTTTGTAGTCGTCATAAAAAAATTATTAATTTAATGACGTGTGGTATAATAAATGATGAATGGTATATTTTTAAGTATCAAATAAAGTATTATAATGTTTTTATTTAAAAAAAAAAAAATAAAGGTCATATTGTCATTCTAGAATTCTAGATTATAAATCGTTGTGTTTTCAAAAAATATATTTTTTTTGTGTTGGTTTCTAATAACGAGGATTCTGAAGAAAGGGTTAAAGTCTAACCTCTGATGGTATTGAACCACCACTATCATCACCTTAATTTGTTGATGGTGTTACTACTATCCATGGAAAATGACATGGTGAAAGGGTTTTGAGCTTCTTCTAAAATGAACAACTAGGGTGTTTAGTGTTGCTCACATAACAATAATTATCTTTACCAAGTGTGCAGAAAATCAACGACCCTAAAAGATTTTAGTTTCTTCAAAAGTTATCACTTTTGATCAAAATTGGTTTGAAAGTAGGTGTTTTTAACAAATGGGGTTGACGTACAAAACCATAAACGACAAATTTTAAAAAATGAAGCAAACTCAAAATGCTAAGGTTTAGAAAGAAAAAAAAACGAAATTTTGAACGATAAGAAGAATAAACTTTGGTGGGATATTCAAAATTGGTGATGAACGCGGTATACATCTCAACATCTTCACTGCTAAAGTCACCAATATTGCAATGTTACATCCTCCCATATCTGCACTGTTAAGTAATACCAATACAGTAATTTTCAGAAGAAATCAATTGAAAAGAAACTAAGAAAATTCTATAAACCGTTCCTGTTACACTCTGTACTGTAATATTTGTTATTTTTTTAATATAATTACCCATGTGATATAATATTTGTTGAAATTTGTTATTTCAGAAATATTTGTTATTTTCTTTATAATGTAATATTGGTTCATATTTGTTGTTGTATAATATTTATTATTCTTGTAATATTTTTTAATCTTAGTTGTTTCTTATTATTCTCAATTTAAATATTCCAAAGTTAAAAAATAAAAATAAAAATACACTTACTAGCAGCCACTGCCGAAAGTTTGCTACACCATCTCAACCCCACTTTTAAACCTCAAATAGCTTCTAATCACCATGAACCAACACATGTCCTTGTCTGTGTGATTTCATTGGAGATAAAATTATGTTCAGCAAAAAACTAGTCTATTTGTGTTTGGGATGAAAATAACAAAGATACATTTTAAATAGTAAAATAAATCTGAAAGAATTTTTTATTTTTATTTTTATTTTTATAAGTTATTGGACCTAATGCTGTTTTTGTTTTATTAAACTTGAGACAAGATAAAAAAAAACATATTACAAATAGTAATCAGTATGAAAATTTATTTATTTATTTATTTTGTTTAAATTCTAAATAAAAATGACTCAACTTTTTTCCTTAAAAAGGATTTACATTAGTATATCATTATTAATGTATTAACAATTTAAATTTCAATAATTATCATTTTTTTCTCCCCAAATAGTATTTTATGAAATTAATAAATATGCAATATTATTTTTATTAGAGTTGTAACAAAATATTTCATAAAAAAGTTAATCACTTTATATCTACATCTAACTTAATTGTCATAAAATTATAATAATCACTTTAAATTTTTTTTATTTGATTATAACAAAATACTTCTTAAAAAAATCAATCCAAATAAGAATTATAAATATAATAATTTAAATATTTAAAATTTAATAATTATTTTGGATAAATTTTTGATTTAATTATTACATAAATTATAAAATAATAATCACTTCATATTATTTCTAATTTGATTATTACGTAATTATTCAATTTTAAAATAATTTCAAATACACTTTTAATTTAGTAACAAAATAGATAAATTAAAATAAAATATTCATAAATTAAAAAAAATATATGTCACTCTGATTTTCCTTTACACTTAGAGATACTTAGGAATATAGAGATAATATTTATCTATGAAAAATATAAATATTTTTATTTTTAATAGCAACATTTAATAGATATATAATTTTAAGGGATAAAATAAATAATTTTAAGATATTAATTTTTCACATCTAATTAAAATTAAATCTTTTTTAGAATGAATGTTGTAGAGTGTTAATACTTTCTCTACATATGATCGACTCTCGAATCCAATTTTAATTTATAGACTTTTTTTTCTTTTAAATATTTTTTTTATATTTTTTTAAAATAAATATTAATAAAGACTTCATTATTTTTTTTCATTTAAAAACATATTTTTGTCGTTT